TATATATATATATATATATATATATATATATATATATATATATATATCCTTTTTTTTTGGTGTGTGGTTCACTGGCCATTGGCCACGGCAAATAGCCAAATACACAGGAAACTCACATGAGAGACTGTATTGTACCAAAATCTGCTCATTTGAGTACATTAATCCAACCCTGATCCACTAAACTGTTTGTGATATTTGTTAATTGAGTTTAAAGTTTTCACTGTATTCTTCATGACGGGGAGGATGAGGAACATTCCTTTTGAAGTATATGTTGTGTCTCTTTTTGTACTTTGTGTTTATTGTGATATTTTATTTGATATACCTGTGTGTGCTGTATGTATTTATATCTAAACATGTTTCCTTTTCCAGGCTGGACAGCTGTAGACTCACAGAGACATGCTGTGAAGTGTTGGCTTCAGCTCTCAGATCAAACTCCTCTCAGCTGACAGAGCTGGACCTGAGTGACAATGACCTGCAAGATTCAGGGGTGAAGCTGCTCTCTGCTGGACTGGGGGATTCACACTGTACACTGGAGATACTGAGGTCAGCATTATAGGATATTCCCCAGTGTAAACTGTAAATATTGAGATCTTTATTGGAGCCGTCACATTTACATAAAAGTAATACTCCTAGTGGTGAGGTGTTTTTATTTAGTGGAGAGTTATTGTCTGTCTGTCTGCAGGTTGTCAGGCTGTAGAGTCACAGAAGAAGGCTGTTCTTACCTGGCTTCAGCTCTGAGGTCAAACCCCTCACAGCTGAGAGGGCTGGACCTGAGTAACAATAACCTGCAAGATTCAGGGGTGAAGCTGCTCTCTGCTGGATTGGGGGATTCACACTGTACACTGGAGATACTGAGGTTAGTATTATAGGGTATTCCGCAGTGTAAACTGTAATTATTGAAATCGTTATTGGAGTCTTCAAATTTACATTAAAGTAATACTCCTAGTGGTGAGGTGTTTTTATTTATTGCAGAGTTATTGTCTGTCTGTCTGCAGGTTGTCAGGCTGTAGAGTCACAGAAGAAGGCTGTTCTTCCCTGGCTTCAGCTCTGAGGTCAAACCCCTCACATCTGAGAGAGCTGGACCTGAGTGACAATGACCTGCAGGATTCAGGGGTGAAGCTGCTCTCTGCTGGACTGGGGGATTCACACTGTGCACTGGAAATACTGAGGTTAGTATTATAGGGTATTCCCCAGTGTAAACTGTAAATATTGAGATCTTTATTGGAGTCGTCACATTAACATAAGCAATACATCTAGTGGTGATGTGTTTTTATTAGTGCTGGGCAAGTTAACGCGTTATTATCGCGTTAACGCAGTACTTTATTAACGCTGACAATTATTTTATCGCGAATTAACGCAGTTTATTATATTAGTAGTAGTATTATTTTGAAAGTCTGTTGCTCGCTGGCTCTGAATCAGAGCATGTGAGCGGAGTGGAGCGGAGCGTGAGC